AAACAACTGAAGAAACAAAATAGTAACCAAAGAATTGAATCCGCAGTCAACCTTGAAAAGTTAGAATTAATTTCTATTACAGATTCAAATGTATTTTTGTTATTTTTTTTGCTAAAATAAGTGAAATATGTTACCTTAAATTTGTCAAGCTCTGCCTTTGAACATGTTGCATGATAAGACAGCACCTGATCCAGAACAAATGGGGGGGGGGGAGAAATGGTCACAGGTGAGAACCTAAAAAGTTACAATCAACTTAAACCAGGGATGTCAAACTCAAGGGTGCTTAAATCTGGCCCACAGGGTCAGTCTGGAAATAGCAAAAGACCGGCCCACAGTGCCTCTGAAAGTCAAAAGGGGGAAGGGGGGGGCAGGGAGAGCACATTTTGGCTGGCAGGTGCTGCAGAAGGTTGTTCAGGTTGAAAACAGAGCATGGATCATTTTGGCTGGCAGGGTGCTGCAGGAGGTGTCCATCCTGTCCTTACCCCTGACCAGCTTGCCCACAGAGGAGAACTACAATGCTGATCTTGCCCTTGAAGAAATCCAATTTGACACCCCTGACTTAAGCCATCAACAAAGTGAATATTATAATGGTTTATTAGTACCTCTGCAATATATATTACCCCGTTTTCCCCAAAATAAGACCTCCCCAGATAATAACCCCAATCTGGCTTTTAAGCGCATGCACTAAAATAAAACCTCCCCCAAAAATAAGCCCACCCCAAAAATATTGCAACACTGCAACAGCCATGAGGTAACCACATTTGCCTCCTGCACCTCAAAAATAATAAGACCTCCCCAAAAATAAGGCCAAGTGCTTATAAGACCTTGTCTTATTTTTGGAGAAACACAATATCCATGAAACTACTTACCACAGTGAACCAAATTTTAAAGAAAACTAGAATGCCCATGGTTCTACTTCTAGATCAATGCACTTTCACTACAGCTACTCATACTACAGCTACTTCAGGTTTTAGGCCTCGTTTTCAATTAATAAACAACAGAGTAATTTAAATTATTTTTGATCCTGGCAGTAGTATCAACCAGCACTGCACAGAGACATAATTGTCCTAGAAAAAGTACCCTGAAAATCTGAGGGGCTGCCGAGAGGCACCAAACGTTTTCTGTTTTTTACAAGTCTTTAAAATGTTCCCTAATAGTCTCTTTTTAGAAGTTGAATTAAATGATTTAGTGATGTATGTAAACTACTGATACCAAATTTAAAAAATTAGCTAACAGTCTAAAAGAGTATTTTTAAAAACCCTAAATTGGTCTCACTTTGAAGGAATAAAACTGTTGATAAATAATGAGCTATTGATTTAGACATTTTACATGGCACAATGTATAAACCTGTGTCTTTTTTCCTTTTGTTTCTTGAGTCTTTTTTTATAAACAAAAAGATTGTTTTCTTCACTTGTTTAATAGAGAGGAAGTCAAAGTTCAGTATACATAACTTATTTATTTTATTTTGTTTCTGTTTTCAATATTTTTTTCCCAATCTGCTCTTTCTCTTCATTTTCTGTATGCTATGTCCCTACACAGCACAGCAATTCAGTACTTGTACATGTATCGGCATTGTTGCCTTCCTACTGACCCCTTTCCAATTATATACAGCATCTTTGAATCATAAAAAGCTTTTTTAAAAAATACCTGATTTTTCAATAATACTTACATCAAGAGCCACAGACTGCTTTGCCCAGGACTTTTTCACTTGGTCGTACATTATAGTATTATTGATGCCCAAGCCACAAAATATAACAAAAGCCTAAAAAAAAAGGTATAGCTTTAATATACATGATTTCAAAATTTAATAATACTGAATGGAATAAAGAAAGCAACGTTCTTGTTACTAGGATGCACATGAAATAAAAAAGAAAATATTGTGTGAGCTCAGAACAAAACAGTCTCACTTGAAATGCTATTGTGTTCCAGTCCTAGGAAATATTGAAAATAATGAAGTTCTTCCTTCTCAGAACTATACAAATACATACAGCGGCAGTTTATGCAGATATTGGCTTGTCAACTTGCATAAAGATCAGCTAGCCAAACTTTATTTATTTTTTATTCCCCCAAAGTGTGAAAGAAATTTGAAATTTCCTATATAGGTTGCAGGTATTCTTGTCCAGGGGGAGTGCTGACTTTTCCCCTATTTATTGTGAGTTTTCTTGCAGATACTCAGCAACTGACATCGCAATTCTTATTTTCCAGTTTCAAGATGTGGTTATCTTTCCTGGCAGCCTTGCAATAGCTGGCTTGCAAATATATGAATGAAGAAACAATATGCTCCTCCATACTGCAATGAGAAAAAGAAAGAAAGAAAGAAAGAAAGAAAGAAAGAAAGAAAGAGGGAGGGAGGGAGGGA